GTAACTCTAACATCTAGTCACGGCTGAGAAGCATTGGCTTAGAGTGCCCCATTCCCCATTCCTCACCCTCATTCCATCTCCAGTGTTTATCATTCTGTTAAATCCTGTCTGTTTTTAAGAATTTAGGGGACAGTGGCTTCTGTTGGGATCTTTCCTGGCATTCCCCTCTCTACGTGCCTTTGGGTACATGTGCCCCGTGGCATGGGCTGCATATTGTGCTCTGAAGAACCTGAGGTATTAGAATATGCCATTGAAGCACCATTAATTAAACCCTCACGTGTCAGGTCTTGATATAATATGAAAGTACCATGACTGTAATTTCCATTGGGCTGTAGGTGACAACCCAGACCCCTGGAATATATGTCAAAATGATCTAGAACCAGGAGTCATCAAGCTTTTTCTCTCAAGGACCAGTACTAAACATACGCAGCATATAGTAACTGCAGGAAGTATCTTCAGCTGTGCGGGCCACATGGCCTCTGTCGTAACTACTCGATTTTGCCATCATAGTGTGAAAGTAGCCATCGACAATATAAATGAGTATGACTGTGTTCCAGTGAGACCTAACTGCCATTGAACTTCGAATTCTGTGTACTTTCTATGTGTCATGAAATATTGTTCCGATTTTTTTCAACCATTTCAAAATGTAAAAACCATTTTTAGCTTGCAGACTGCACAGAAACAGGTGGTGGCCAAATAGGCCTCGTGGGCCGTACTTGCCGACCCCTGATGTCGGGGACTATTTCAGATTATAAATGCGTCATCTCTCTGAGAGTCTAGTAAGCTGCCTATGTGCCTTCTCACAAACTGAGAAGTCCCTGGTGTCAGAAGCCAAGGGGAACAATGGCCACACCTTAGATTTGATGGGATGGAAACAAAGCTTGAGATAACTGAATTTGAACACAGATTATGTAAACATATAATGAGGAAAGAAGATAGAAATTTTGAACAGCCTCCAGATTTAGTCTTACTGGCATGTTATTTTCAGCTTGAGGTTTAGAGTATGTTGAGTACATAACAAGTGTTCAGTACCTACTTGCTAATGATTTTATTAGAACGGCTAGTATGCTGCATAGGATTAAAAAATATGTTTAGCATTTGTCCAATGAGATAGATTTTGTTGTTTTTATGACTTTTATTTTTTTTTATTTTAAGTACGTCTTATGTAAGCTTAGCCTGGAGTAGTGACTTCCATCTTTATTGCACGTCATGAGTATCTGGCAGAGTTGATGAAAATGTTTAGGTCCCACCGTTAGAGATTGTTTTGGTTGCTCTGTGGGTCATTCTTGTGAGCAGCCTGAGTTGGGAAGCATTGGCCTTGTAGAGCATCTTCTCCTTTGGTGAATTCTAGAATGAAAAATTCTTCCTTTTTTTTCCCATCAAAAACTATTTCTTAAAGACAGCGTATCTGCAGTAAGTTAAAAAAAATACTTCAGGCTGTTTGCTAAAAAAATAATCAGTAAATCATATATAAAATAGTATCACTCATCTCCTATCTTATCTTTAAAAGATAGCCATTGTTCTCTGTTTGTTTATGCATTTCTCTGTGCATAAACAAACACTGAATTTTTGAACAAATAGGATCATACAATATGTACCATTCTTTGACTTGTTTTTTACTTAGTTAATATATTCTTGATATCTAGAAAAATTCATTTCTCATAAACAGTTTTGTCCAAGGATTAAAAACAGAAGCATGGAAGATAATTTTCAGTGGCTTGGCAACCAGGGCTGATGAGAGATACAGATTGGGAGCAGGGCTGTTTCTAGTATTGTTTGGAGGCTGGAACAAATCACAGCTCTGCTGCCTCTTATGCCACTAAAAGTAAACAAACACACTGCAACAATTCAGGCAAAATGAGTTTAAGAGAAGACTGTGGATAGCCTTGAAAAGGGAAAAATAATGAAAGGACTTTATGAGATGTGCCCAGGAAGATGGACTGTTTCCTTTCAGGGAATTAAGGTGATTCCATGGATGGAATGCTTTAAAGTTTTGTACAGTGCATTTTTAAGTTTTTGTTTTGTGTTTTGTTTAGCATTAGCAAAGTCTCCCTCTGGCTTCCTCCTTTCATTGTTGCTCAGTTGCTAGAAACTTGGGTTAGGCGGGATATGCATGGAAAGAGAAAACTGGGCCTCTGGGTGTTCACGTTAGCTGTACATCCTGCACAGTTTAAGAAAAGGCAGTGATATTCCTCTCCTGTCCTTAGCACCTTCCTCTCTCCAGGGCTCAGGGGCTCTCCTGTTACAGAGCCTTTCCTCATCTCAGAGCTCCCTTGGTGAAAATGCCCCCTCTCCTTGTTACTCCCTTATATTGTCACTTTGTTAGCTTCACTCTGGAAAATTATATCTTTTAAAATATAAATGTCTTCTGGGCAAGTTAAGCTTTTTTGTCTTTAATTCATTTGTTATCAATTGAAGGCATTTGTTTGAGAGCGACAGCATTAAAGCACTATTTCCCTGAAAGCTGGAAGAGAAAAACCTCTAAAAGGCAAACTTTGTCTGATTTCCTTAATCGCCAGCATCTCTCTGTTACGCCACTGAGAAGCATGCATGGTACTTTAACACACATTGGAAAATATATCAAATGTCTCTTCCTTGAAGTGATTTTAAATTATGAGTACATTCTAAGTGTCAATTCTTAAAAATTTGGCAGGGTGAAACTGATGTTTTTAAAAATGTTTTTCTATATATTCTCCCTTTTTCTAAATTAAAGTTTTCATTTTGAGATAATTGTAGATTCACCTGCAGTTGTAAGAAATAATACAGAAAGAACATGTGTGCCCTTAATTCCATTTACCCAATGGGACCATCTTTGAAAACCACTGTATAATATCAAACCCAGGATATTGACACTGATAGGATCTACCAACCTTTACAGATTTCACCAGAATTTTCTTGTATACTTGTACTCATCTGTGAGTGTTTAGTTCTGATAGCATTATCACTCCTATATATATCCATCACCACAGTCAAAATACAGCACAGTTCCCCTGCCACAAAGACCTCTGGTGTTACCCTTTTATAATCACACCCTCCTTTCTTTCTTGAGAGTTTTTTTGGCTTGTTTTTCAATGTTACTGATGGTCATGACAAAGTAATTATCTTTTAAATTTGTACACATAATTTTAAAGTTTTACTTATTTAATTTTTAAGTGTGGTTAAAAAATAACATAAAATTTAACCTCTTAACCATATTTAAGTGTACAGTTCAACAGTGTTAAGTATATTCACATTGTTGTGCAGAAGATCTCCACATCCTTTTCATCTTGTAAAGTGGAAACTTTGTACCCATTTTGAAACAAGTCCCCATTTCCCCTTCCCCAAGTCCCTGGCAACCACCATTCTGTTTTCTATTTCCATTCATTTGACTGCTTTATACACCTTGTATAAGTGGAATTTGTCAGTATTTGTCTTTCTGTGACTGACTTACTTTACTTAATATGTCTTCAAGATTCATGTATGTTGTAGCATGTGACAGAAATTTCTTCCAATGAATACTTCTCCATTGTATGTATAAACCATATTGTTTGTTAATTCGTCCATTGACAGACATTTGAGTTGCTTCCACCTCTTGGCTATTGCGAATAATGCCACTGTGAACATGGTTGCACAAATACTCTTCATGGTCTTGCTTTTCATTCTTGGAAAGATACCAAGAGGTGAAGTTGCTGGATCATATGGTAATTTTTTTTTAAATTTTTGAGGCACCACCACACTGTTTTCCATAGCTGCTGCACCATTTTACACTCCTATCAATAGTATGTATCTGTACTTCAGTGATGTTTGGATAAATAAATTTTAATTCATCCATTTTGTTCTCTTTAATCATGACTTTATTGACCTTTCTTTCCCACTTGATAGAGTGAATACTAGCACGAGTAGTAGATGAGACGTTTTGCTTTATAGCATGTGTACGTGTCACTTCAAGGTGACATATAAACATTTTAGAGTCAGTTCTTTCAGCTACAAGTAACAGAAACCTTACTTGGGCTAATTAAAAAGGATTTTATTACAAGGAAACTGTATTGGTCTAAGGGTATTAATGTGGTAGGCTCTTAGATATCACTGGAGTGAGACGTTGTCCCTTACCTTTGATGAACCTATTTTTCTTTTATCCTGTAATTGTGTTTTTTGTCACGTGGTGATGAAATGGCTGTTCACAAATCCTGAGCCTTTCAGCTTCATCCACTCAAAGACTGAGGTGCTCACTTGGTCCCAGTACAGAATTCCTAGGGGAAGGGAGTGATTGGCCCAGTTTGGATCAGTAGCCTGCCCTGCTGTACCGCACCACAGGCATGATCAAGGAGATGGAGTCAGTGCAGGGACAGGCAATATCCCAGGTACTGTGTGCATTGACAGAGTGGGCAGGGACCAAGAGGACAGGGAATGGATACTAGAGAGAATGAAAGGCTTGTTCATCAGCCGTCTGTAAACTGGGCTTCAGTGAACAGTAACTGAGGATACACTGAAGAAAGAGGAACAGAGCTTGAAGAGTTCTGGGTTAGGACTATTAAATGACCTGAGACAAAGAATTTTTTAAAATTCTGACTGATTCTTTAAGTTGAGAACCAAGAGGGGAATTGCCTGAAATTCTTAAAATCATAAAAGAAAAAAATGTCTGGACACTTAGTGTAGAAAGTAGAAAATTATGTATCAAACAGTAACTAATTATATAATTTATTACAAGAGATTTGCAAATGTATTCAGGCTTATTAAACAAACGAACAGATGATAGCTATACGATGGGGACACTGCGAGGAACTTAGAGTGTGGCCTTGACCTGTAGTCATGGAGGGAGTTATTTCCCCATCAAGCATTAGTGATCATGATAACCATTAAAATTTACTTAGTGCTACTATGTTTCAAGCACTGTACTATGCATGTTTTTATCCATTGTCTGATGTAACCGTCCTCCAAACTATGGGTTCTCACTGTTTGTTAAATTGGATTTTCTAAGACGTTTTTCAACAGAATAGTTAATGCTTTGCCTTTCCTTTCAGAGATGTGGTACTGGATCTTTCTCTGGGCTCTCTTCTCCTCTCTGTTTGTCCACGGTGCTGCGGGAGTGTTGATGTTTGTGATGCTGCAGAGGCACCGGCAGGGGAGGGTAATCTCTGTCATTGCAGTCAGCATCGGATTTCTGGCTTCTGTAACCGGAGCGATGATCACTAGTAAGTTGATGTTGTTTTGTTTAAGGACGTAATTGTATATGCATTTACAGTTTGGGTACCTTTATTCTAATTGTAAATATAACAGTGTCATCTTGCACGTAAAATGTTTTTCAGCACTAATCACACTTCATCTAGAAGGTAAAGATCAGCTCATTCATTTATTGAACAGATAGTTTTTGTATTTTTGCTATATAAATACTCATGCAAGGTTTTGGGGGAAATAGAGAAACTTGTAAAAATTGGTAAGAGGCAGAGCAGTTTGTGGGAAAATATATCTTAAAGTGGATGTAGTTCCTGCTTTAAAGGAGCTCGCTGTGTGGTAAGGGAGAGGTAGGCACACAAATATGACAGTGATACTTGTCATTAAAGTGAAAATACAGCCCTTAGGTCCTTGATGTCAGCTGCCTGTGACCACCAAGTAAAAGTGCACTTGCTTCTTGAACGCAAATTATTAAGACATAAATCTCCCCCTGGGCTACTAGAAATTAGCCACTTTACAGAGTATTCTAGCTCCTTGCAAGTTTCAACTGTGCTGCCTCCTGTGCCTCAGGTTCATGTCCTCCGGCCTTCTGCACTGACCACACTTAGGCCTCAACTCCAGCTTTGGGTTCAAAGTTAGTTGCAGTTTCTGCCGTGCTGGTTAAGCCAGAACTTGGATGCATCCTGTTGAGCCTGGGGGGCCTCAGCTGCCTCCTTCACGTGGCCTGCTCTACACTGGCTGCTTCTCTGCTGTCGTCGGTCCCGTTGCCGCCGGGCAACAGCAGAGCTTCTGTTGCCCTTGACGCCGGCCTGCTTCCGTGAGGCTCAGGCAGCTCGCTGCCACCCCGGCTCTATCAAGACTCTCCAGCTAGGGCTTCTTCCTTTCTAAGTTGGTTCTTAGCCCCTGAGGTGAGAGGAAGTCCATTTCTTCTGTAGTTTGAAGGCCTCCCTCCTTTTTGTCCCACAGTCACCTTTTCCCAGAGTGATACCTTGCCTTGAGTGGAAAGCCCTGTTCCCATGTCTCTGGGTATGTCCTGTGGCATGAATAAGACAGTCATAAAATAATTGTGGGAAATAGTAGGCTGTTTTTTCATCCTTTCTTGAGTTACTATTTGGTTTTTGTGTGTTCTCTTGCGTTAGGTCTTTGTTGTTGCTACATTCAACCCGTAACTTTATCATATGGTGCCACATTCATTCTGCCATAGATAGGGTTTAGCTGAAGCACCAGGCGTGATGAGTGGAGTAGTAGGAGCTTCAGCTGGAAAGATAGAGCCAGGTCCTCAAGGACCTTGGAAGGCCAGCCACAGTTTGAACTTTATTCTGTAGGCCATGGGAAACAAGTAGATAATTTTGAATGGGGTTGGCAAGGGGCAAGGCAGTTCAATAGAAAAATTTGTTTCATAGCTGAATATAGAATATATGTGAATAGAGAACTAAGAGAAGACTCTGAAAGAGTGGGGACCTGGTCTGTCTTCATCACTGCTGTATCTCCAGCAATAAAACAGTACTTGGAACATAGCAAATACTCAGGGAATACTGGTTAGATGGATGGATATAGTGAAGGAGGAAGAGCAGAAGAAAGGAGGAAAGAGGGTGGGAGAGAATGGAGGAAAAACAGGAAAGAAGAGGAATTGATGCATTAACTGCAATCTGAATTTGAGGCTGGATCTGAACTAGACTGGTGGCAGTGGGTTGGAAAAGGAGTTGATGTAAGGACTATGGCAAAAGGGAAAAATCCAAATTGGTTGTTATTCACTGGTGGCATACAGAGAGACATGAAAGGAACTGCTAATGTTTTTGATGTGGGCCACTGCTGTAACTGTGGAACCGTGACAGAGGAGGAAGGAAGAAGGAACAGTTTGTTCAGGAGTCGATAGTAGTATGTGTATTTATTGGCATAAATCATTGTAAAACTTTAAAGAGAGCATGATTCTACTTCTATTTATCTCTAATGATGTGTATGTATATTCAGTCAAGAATAAAATAAGCCAATGATTTTAGAAATTACAGTGTTATATTTAAAAATGCTTACTAATATGTCTGATAAAATTTCAAGTGAAAATTTGTACAAGTTAACAATAAGACATTTAAACCTTTCTGGCTAATTTTCTGACCTGCAAACACTTGAATTAAGAAAGCTAGCCACTGTAAATTTTTAATTACATTTATTTTCTTAATGCATTTTGTGAGTGATAGCACACTCATAGCTGTATGTTCAATTCAGCAAATGATGGTTCTGTTTTACTACTATTATATTTTACTACTTCTTAGATTTTTATTTCCAGAATGGAGTGATTTTTCATTTTAGTTAATACCAGAATTGGGGAAAAATGGCTTTGTATATAATGCTATTATTTGACATATAGGTATCTAATTTTAGCAAGTCTGAGGGTTTAGTGACATCTCTGTGTTGGTTTAATTTGCCTTTCTCTGATTACTAATAAATTCAAGCATCTCTTTCTATTCTTATTATATATTTAGATTTCCTTTTTTTGCAAATTGCTTCTTTAAATTCTGTGCCTTTCTTTTGGGGTTCTTGTTCCTTATTAAATGATAGGTGTTTCTTAGAGATATTGATGTCTTGTTGGTTTTGAACTTTGCAAATCACCTCTCTCTTTTTTCAGTACTGTCATCTATGATGTTATTTAATGAGCAGAAATCCTTAATTTCTATGTAATCAGCTTAAAGAGTTTTTTGCCTATAGTTTATAATGTAGAATTTTAGTTAAGAAGTTCTCCCCTACACCAAGGTTAAAAGATATTCTGATATATTTTCTTTTGTTAATTTTACAGTTTTATCTTTAAGGTCTCTAATTTACCTAGAACAGGACTGAGCAGACATTTTCTTAAAAGGCCAGATGGTAACTATTTTAAACGTTGCAGGCCAGATGGTCTCTGTCACAACTATTCAACTCTGCCATGAAGGCATAAAAGCAGCCATAGACATAGGTAAATGAATAGATGTGGCTTTTTCCAATAAAACTTTATTTACAAAAATAGGTGTCTGACATTCAGGTCATAATTTGCCTTCTGGTCTAGAGTTCATCTTTGTGTTTGGAATTAGATAGGATTCCAGGTATATTTTTTTCCTCCCATATAGTAAATCAATTTTTTATCACACCATTCACTAAAAAAATGCATCCATTGATTCACTGTTTTTTGTGCATTATGTTCTTAAGGTATGTGGCTCTGTCTCTGAACTCTGCTCTGATTTGTTAGTCTTTTTATCTATTCTTGCAGCAAGTCCTCATTTATGTCTCTGTTGTTTTGCAGTATTTCTTAACATCTGGTAGTGCTGGGTCTCTCATTTCTTTTCTTTCTCAAAGTTTACATAACTATTGGTGGACCTTTATTCTTTCATATAAATTTTAGAATATATCTACTGAGTTCCTCAAAAAGTGTAACTGTGATTTTTATGGGGATTTAATTGAATGTAGAGGTTACTCTGGGAAGAATTGACATATTAAACTATCCCACCCAAGAGCATGTAATATATCTCCATTTGTTCAGATTGTCTTCTGTGTCTTTTGTTAGAGTTTAAAAATGTTCTTCTCAATAGGAGGGTTGCATATTTTTGATCAATACCTAAACTCATGTTATAGTTGTGCATGGTGTCTTTTTTGATTACATCATTTAGTATTATCAGGGTAAAGAAACGCTGTTAAATTTTATAAGTTGAGTTTATGAAAATTAATAACAAAGCAAAATTTGATTTTCTGGAAAGATCATAAGATGAATAACCTAGGGCTGAACAATTCTGCCTTTTCCCACGTGTTGCAGAGAAGCTCTTGACTGTGTATCTGTGCCAGCAGTCATGTTCAAGGATGTTCACAGAAACAGGGATTGTCATTTTTAAGAGTTGGAAACAGATATCATCCACAGTAGGGTGGATCAGTAAGCTGTGTATATTCATACTTGGAATTGTGTACAGCGGTGGAAGTGTGTGAATTGTAGCCATGTACAACAACATGGATAATAATATTGAGCCAAAAATTCAAAATACTTACAGTATCAGTTTATATAAAATTCATTTATTTCAGAAACTAAATAATATATATTTCAGGTTTAGGCAGGTAGTAAGGCTGATGAAAAGCAAAGAAATGATAAAAGCCAAATTCAGGAGGGAATGGATGTGATTGAGGGGAGTCCACAGGAACCTCAAAGGAAATAGCAGTGTTCTTTTCTTCATTTGGATGGTGGTACTTGGGAATTTGTTATTATTTTTATAATCTACATATATTTTTATAAATATTCCTTCATAACTGCTCAATATTTAATAGCAGTGTTTCCAGAATCATTTAACAGGCACACACAATTGTTTTCTTTCAGCTCTTTTAGACTTTAGAGTTCCACCGGAACAGTCTTTTCTGAGTGGTGATTCTGGGCTGTGAAATGAGACGGTGCAATGGGAACTATTGTAAATCTGCTGCTTTTGGAGGGAAGTTGTGACTTACAAATTAGTTCCTGATTGTCCACTAGGAGGAAAATGGTAGTTTTGTTTTATTTTCTGTATAATGCTATAAATGTCTACCTTGATTGTGGAAACTCTGGAGTTTTATAGTAGTTGTACTTTTTCATTCATTTTTTTCTGCCTTCATCATTATAGGCTTGAAGATCTTATCCTCTGTTCCTTGAAAGATTATAAAGAAAAGTGGGTTACTTAGCAGTTTTACTTGTTTTTTCTCAAACAGTATGGCCTTTGAAAGTGAAATGTTTTACTTGTTTTTAACATCTAGTTTTTTAAACCATCTGAAATTGATTTGGGAGAATAGTATGAAGTAGGGACCTAAATTTATTTCTTCCAAATGGCTACCGGTTGTTCCACACCATTTGTTGAATGGTGAATCACTGGTTGGAGATACCTTTCTCATTTACTGTGACAACTACTAATCAAATTTTGGAGCATATACTAGTACCAGACACTATTCTAAGCCCTTTGTAAGTATTATCTCTTAATCGTCATATCCCCCATTTTGCAGCTGAGGAAATAAGGCACAGAGGGGTTAAGTGATTGCTCAGTGTAACTGGACTTTGGATTTTAACCCACAAGTCTAGCTCTAAAATCCATGCTCTTAACCTTATATAAGCATAGGATGTTTGAATTAACAGATTTGTCCCTTTCCAGGCAGCCTGAGCTAGTAATTGCTTAAGATTTTTCACTTCTTGGATCATTTTTGAAAACATAGTGCTGGAGAAATGGAGGCCAAATTGTGTTTTTTTAAAACTGAAGATAGTCATGGAAATCTAGGGTAAATCCAAATAAAAACAGTATTTTTCAGGTTTATTTAAATATAATTTCTGATGGTAAAGAAGGTTTAAGATCTTTAAAATTTTTAAAGAATATCATCCAATTCTAAAATTTGAAGATCTGACCAGTTGTATTAGTGAAGTTTATTACTTGATTAAGTACCTGTTAATGCTACTAAGAGTTTTATTTAATATTGAGATAATTATCAGTTACTTTATTATTTTCTGAGTTCCTATTCTCTTTTTCACTTGTAAATGTGAAATGACAGAATGATTTGGAGATTTATAGCCAGACTAGCCTGGATTGAAACTCCAGCTCTTTACATACTGTATTTACTTGGGCTAGTAATTGAAGCTGTCTGAACCTCTGTTTTTCCCTCTTTAAAACAGGTAATAATATTCAGGTGTGGTATGATATTTAAGATGATATTTATAAAGTTCCTAGCAAGATACATAGTATGCTATAAATGTATTATATATTTTAATTTTCTTCTTAAAAATAAGTATATGAAAGTCCTTGACTTAGATTAATGATTTACTTTTCCTATTTATATCTTCTGTAGAGGAATATAATAATTTTTATTTGGAAAATTTAAGTAAACTATGGAGTTAATTCTTAGCTAATTTTTATGAGTAGATTTCTATCTCAAATAATTATAATTCAATGTCTTCAAATAATGTATTTCTGTTCTTTTTATTTGACCATTCTAGAATATATAGTTTTTTTCTAGAGAAAAGTTTTCAGGCTGTCTCAACCTGTGAGGTGGCATAACTACAATGTAAATGTTTCCTCCTTTTATGATTTCTGAATATACTTTCAAAATCAGCCACTTAGATACCATTTATCATATTTACTATACCAATGTATATATGATACCATATATCATTATATATACTATACTAATAAGATGAAATGTTGAATCAGAGTCTCAGGCAGGGCTCTGAGCCTCCTTTGTAACCCCGAGATTTTCATTCTCAGAAGTGCACATTATCTAAATTTTCCCAGAACAGATGTCAGGTTCATCTTCCACTTCTATTAGATGTCAAGATGCTAGTCTCCAAGTAACTTTATAGTTGTATGCTTTATTAAAACACTTAATAAACTATTTTATATGGTAGACTGTCGAATACATTAGTCAACTATTCTGGTATTTTAAGATTTAAGAATTCATTTTACTGAAAGAAATAATTCCTTTAATACTAAATTTTTCTTGACTAATTTAGACATATTGTGTAGTTTTCTGTATTATTGTTTATAATTATTAATAAACTACTGTGTGTTTATAAAAGTGCTGATGAGGTTGGGCCAGTTCAATACCCAGCTGAGCAATTACAATAGAGAAAATTATTCATTTTTTTATGAACATATTTGTTGTTAAGTGCAGCATGTACCATAAACACGTATTTTGCAGGTGAATAGAAAAGCCTGTTTTACAACTGTGGGTAAATGTGGTATGTTAGAGTGTAACTGTTACCAATCACATGGAAACTCTTTCATAGAAAATTATAAAATGAGAATGATTGATGACTTATTCTGTTTGACTAAAATGAAAAGAGATCGTAAGTTACAACCATGCAGCGTGTTACAAAATGAATGACTGTGTTGTCTGTCTCTCGCTTCCTCACCTAGGTGCGGCTGTAGCTGGCATTTACAGAGTAGCAGGGAAGAACATGGCCCCATTGGAAGCCCTCGTGTGGGGCGTTGGACAGACTGTACTGACATTAATCATCTCCTTTTCAAGGATCCTCGCCACACTTTGAGGTTTCTGTGGGAATGTCTTACTTCACATAAGGAAACAGATATACAGATTCTCTGAAAACGGCATTATTAACAAGTGGGAATGAAATTGTACAAGAATGTGGAAGGAGCAGGTCAGAACATAAGGCCTTGAGCTGTGTGGAGAGATCGCCCTCTGGTGTTCAAGTGATTGCACTACCGCACTGCACCTTACGTGCCTCCGACCCGGGCAAGGCGCATTACACTCTGTGAAGCTACAAGAAAAAGCACCTTGTTTAGCTGCCAATCAGGTTAACATTGGTGTTGAATCATCGTTCTTAACAGTGTTGTGTTAGGTTACAGGGACGTTTTGAAGAATCGATATATGTGCCAAACTCTTCTTTTTTAAACATTGATCATGTGAAATTGCAAGTGTAGATGTAGATGAGTGCTGTGAACATATTTGACATGAGTTCAGGTGATGTGGTGAGATTTTTTGTTTTATAATGCTAAATCCCGTATGAGTGTTGCGTACTGAATCATTTAATACGAGACAAATTGTTTGATTTTTACTGTTGAGCGTTTCTGGGATTGAGGGCTTTCATATAAATTAGGCATTATTGTGATTTAGTTCATGTGGAAAGTAAAACTTAGTGGAAAACTGCTAAACTCTTTCAAGGATTCAAAGTAGGTCTGTAGGGTGCATCCTTTTCACCCACTTAAATAACACTCTTAATAGTTTCCCTTGGACACAAACATTCTATTGATACGAATTTAAAAACATTATGGGTCACACATTGATTGTAGTTTGTGTGTCATAATAATACAATTTGAGAAATTTCTTATAAGTTTTGTAAGAAAGTAAGTCTGAAATGCATGTTGCATTCTTCGCCATTCTAAAGAAAGTTTTTGCCATGTATCTCATGGAGAAAACATCTTTATAATTAGTATCTCAGTGGAATTATATTACTTGTTTCATATGTCTTAACTTTTGATAAAACATAAACAGTCTTTCATTCTGGAGTATTAACTATATTTAAAGAGTGGCCTAAATTAGGCTGTGAAAACAAGAAGCTTCATTTGTAGATAAGTAACAAGTCATATAGGAAGAGTAATAAACTATCTTACTTTGGGTACATGGTAACAATTTCTCTAAGTAAAAATTGGAGTATAATAAATAATTTTAAAATTCGGCAGTTAATCTCAGCATATCAATGCAGTACTGAACTAGACTTGAGTGTTTCATTTCAGTTCTCCAGCTCTTTATTTATGCTGTTATTTAAGTTTACTAGCATCTGTGATGACATTTATTAGAATGAAAAAGTCCTTAGTATAAAACATTTTAAGAGGTTTTGGAAATATGCAGTTGTTTTTAAGAGGATAAGAAGTAAGGGAAACACAGAACCTGGCTGAATTTGTCTCCCACTGAGACTTTTAAAAATACCAGATACAATTTTATATATATGCTAACTCAAAGGAAGAGCCAACTGCAGAAAATATGAAGTTAAGGACAGTCCAAATCTGCATACTTTACCCTCACTGTTTTATAGCCTAATTTGGTAACAATTAAGTTTCTATTAGTTCTTATTCAAATTTAAGAACTTTCTTACCCACGGCACCTTTTCTCCACCAAAAAGCAGGCTATATCAACAACTCAGCGATGAGGAGTTGGGCGTATCTTACCAGTATGGAAGCCAGTTTTGGGGGTTTATAACACTGTGGCTTGGAAATTTGTTTTTAAAAAGCCAAGAAGCAACTATGCATTCTTAAAGATCTTTGAAGTAAATCTTAAAATTGATTATTTTTTGTTATGTACAAGGCTGAAATCATTTTCATGTATTCTTTATATTCCAGATGTTTTCCTAAATTAAATTTAGGCATAAATCTTCCAACTCCATTGGAGTTTCCCTTTTCTGTTAGACTTGAATTGTGTTCTTCCTTTACTTTGGTTATTCTTCAGTAATTTAAAGTGTCCCTGTTCTTTGGGAGGAGTTATCAATAACATGTTGAAATTGTTTTAGATCTACAGAAATGAATATTTATTTTAACATATGGTTATTGTATGATTTCAGAGAGGTATCATAGCAAGGTAACATGGAGCACATGGTTCAGAACCCAAAATTAGCCAGAAAATAACTTGGACACATTAAGTGTATGGCTGCATAGACCAAAGAGACTGAAACTCCTGTTTTTACTCTAGAATGAAAGTGTAAGGAGGTGGATCAGTTTGTAGAGTGTCCTGCAGTTATCTCATTATCAGGTTGCTTTATGTTATGAAGTGTGTGTGTGTGCGCGTGCGCGCACAGGGACACTTTTAACTTTTGGGGGAATCTTTGGTTTCTTTGCTGTTTTTAGTTACTTCCATTGGAATTTTGTGCAACTGTTACGTTTTTGATCTTTTGAAATGCAGTTGAATAGTGTGAATTGATGAAATGTCTTAATAGCTATTTCTATGCCGAGATTTTTTAAATGTTACTGGTTTTCCTATAGAGATAAGAAACGTTTAATGGTATATATCTACACACATATATATCATTATATACGTATATATGTAAAGCTGCTACATATGAATATAGTCTTAATTGGAAAGCTTTTGTTCAATGAACACTTTTATGTTGTAGTGGAAAATTTGATATATTTGCTCAGTTGAATGATCTTTTAAATAGGTTTGAGGAAGTTTGAGATTTTTGAATTTGGGGACATTTTTCTTGGTTTAGTAGTGCTGGAGATCCTTGTTTGTGATACGACAAAAGCCCTCATGTATGTATTTGGGTTAAACCTTAAAATTTGTATGTGACTTGGTAAATTTTGTGATAAATTCAGGAGGAAAGGGGAAAATCCTCTGTAGTTTATACTTCTTTATTTTAAAAAATGCTAAATAAAATATTGCTGACAGTGAAATCAGTTCCCCAAAGAAGAGACTCCTGTGTGCCCAGACTAACTGCTAATCAGTTAACACACTGATCAGAAATGTCATAGAGCGGAGTTAGTCGGGGGCCTCACCTAAGCTACAAGTAACGCTTAAATCTTTTAAATGAGGAAGGCGCAAGTGGTCTGCCCTGCGGGACAGTTCCACTGGAATAAAGTCCCAGGTGGGGCCATGTTCAGTGCTTGCAGGTTAGTTATTCTTTCTTTAGACCTTAGTGTTCACAGTGTTACCGTTTGTCACCCGTGGTACTCTCTTAGTATCTGCAGCATACATTTCCTCTGTCCCCCAGAAGTATAAGAGTTGTATTTTTACTTTAAGTGAGAAGTAAACAGATGAGCTGCCCTGTGTATCATATATTTGTGATGTAAGGAACAGGAAGAATTTTTTAAATGTTCTTGGAAGACATCTTTAGAGAATCTCTATAATTAATATGAGGAGAGTGGAGCCACCATGTTAACGTGCCCAAGATGGCACTTACACACCAACTAATTCAATTTTGTAAACATTTTTGGTGGATCTACTGTGTACAAAGTGCTCTCCCTAGTATTTTCTATAGTAAGTACAGGGACGACCAAGATGGGATTTCTGCCCTCAGTTCACCAAGAGCTACCAAGATGCTTTAAATCCTAAAGCAGCTGGGAGGACATTTTGCTCCTAGTTGACAGTTTAAGTTGTTTTCCCCCAATACTGATTTTTCTCAGTTTATCCACCAAATGGAATTTTAGTAACTAAGATATTATGTGACATAGTGAAGAGAATACTAGAATTTAAGCCAGGGACATAGATTGGAATCCAGGCCCTGTCACTTGTTGACTTCTTCAACAAGAAGAATGGAAAAGCAGTACAGTCGGCCCTTCATATCTGTGGTTCTGCACTGAAGGATTCAAACAACTTGGATTGACGTATGCAGGAAAAAAAAATTCCAGAAAGTTCCAAAAAGCAAAACGTACATTTGCCCCACTCCGGCAACTATTCACAAAGAATCTGCATTGTATTTACATAGCATTTACACTGTATAAGAACGTTGTAAGTAATCAATCAAGAGATGATTTAAAGTATATGGGAGGATGTGCACAGGTTATATGCAAATACTACACTATTTTCTGTAAGGGCCTTGAGCATCCTTGAATTTTGGTATCCACAGGGATCACTCCCCCTGCGGATACTAAGAGACTAATAAATATTTTGCAGTAAGTGATCAATGGCTAGTCATAATTTTTTAAAAAACTACATTTTGGAGTACTGATCGAATACAGTATTTTGTAAAATTCATTTCTTCCATTTCCACATTTTTCCTACATATATTTTAAGAAAGAAGCTAAAAAAATTCTTTTAGAATGTTGCCTCCCTTACCTCCTCTCCACCTCTTTATTTTTTAAATCACATATTTATCTAAGAGCACTTTTGGGAATTGGTGGTGATGGAAATGGCCAGGGCAGGCGGGATTTAATATCAGGTTGTGTTTACCGTGAGTTACAAAAGGAGAAGGGAGATGTGGCCAGGATCTACTCCTTACTTTAGCTTGCTTGCTGCTTTTGGATTCATTCAACCAATATTAATTGAATCTCTACTATATGCAACTTACTATCCTTGTTTTAGGGGTGGAAAAGTGATTCCTCCCTCTGTCCACCTCTCTCCCGCCACCCCCGTGTGTGGCTTCCCTGTATAGTGCCAATTCTGTGGGAGAACAGAACTGGGCTGCGGTGTCTACCATGTCCCTCTTTCTATGGACCAAAGGTGCTTTAGCCCTACTTGTTGTTTTTAACTTAAAGGGAAATGCTTTTATTTTTAATTTATGTCTATTTTATAATTCAAGAAGTGACAAGATGCTCAGAGTACTTTCTGAAATATTCTTAAGCTACTCTTACTGTTACAAATGTTTCTCTCAGAAAGTCTTAATCAGAATTCTTCAAAGAGTGGCTACTTGTTTTTAAGATGTGAAGAATGTGGAAAATTACTGAAGAAATTCTAGTGACCTAGATTGCAGAGAAGTTTGGCAACACCTGGGTAAATAGGCAAATGATTATTTCTTTTAATAATCAGGGGTGAGAATCTCAGTGGTTAAAATTGACTAGTAATTTCCCTTCTTGTCCTTTTATAACATCGTGGAGGAAGACTCTATAGCATAAAAAGGACATTATTTGATTAAAAAATGATAAATTTTTTAAAACATGTGATAGCATTTATAGCGGAGGGAAGTTTAAACATAGGCAGAAACGTTGGAGGGGTAACGCGCAAAAACAAAGACACACTTGGTGAAGCACCTCTATTAGGTGAATGCAGCTTCCCCTTAACCTGTTAAAGACTATACACACTGAGTATGTTTACTGCTTACAAAACGTGGTGTTTCCTTATATGTGAGACTGAACTTGCCACAAAGCATCCTGAAGTAATACTACATTTTTGTGTGTGGTGGTAGGTTTGCCCTTCTAACTTAGGGGTCTCTGTTCAGTGTAGGCAATACAGTGTTTTTGAGGAGGCTGCTGAAGTTATCTAAAAATGTTATCAGTGAACTTGTTAAGAGGAAGTGATGCTTACTATAGAAACTATTTTGAGTAACTGTGGAAATATACCAGTTAATACTTTATTAATTAGTGGAAACACCTAAATTTCTGAGCACACTAAGCTGGAACTGTCTCCTCCCCCAGGTTTAGGGGACTCGTTTTCACATTCTTTACATTCATTGCATGTATGTTGAACTTACATAATAACCCTTTCTTGATTCTAAGAACTAATTTAGCACTTTCTTAAAAATATTCCTCCTCCTTCCAGACAGATGTCACATGGTATAGTTTAAACAGAGGTACAGTTTGTTGATAGACTCAGAAGTGCTGGTTTAGAATAGAATGTTCTTAACAGCTTATGGTTATGCAGCTATAATCTTGCTGAAAAGTAAATACTATGAGCAAGTCAAGAAAGCATGGACCTCCTACATGGTTTTTTTTTTTAGATTATATCCTGCACCCATATATATATCTCCCCTCAATGGTGACATGACTGTCCCCTTTGGGGGACTGTATTTAGGAATGTAACTGAAACTGGAAAGCAGTGTAACATAAATACATAGAAGGAGGAACTAAAATACATAATCACTGTAACTGTAACACTTTTTCTCCTCAATGTAGTATATATTGGTAATTTCTAAAAATCATCCCCTTTTTTAGAGCCCTGTGTAAATGAATGGTAACTTGATAGTACTATTGATGGTGAAAAGTTTCCTTTGTTTTTGAATTATTTATATATCATCACTAAGTATCTTTGGGAAGGAACATTTTAAAGTTTTCTCCATAGAAGGCAAAATAGAGGCACTTGTTTGAGTAGTAATAAAAAATGATCTATTTACTTTTAATACTGGATGGCTTGATAGTCTGCTTTTGGACACTTTCTTAGTATCTGTGATACTAGATGCATTAATGGTGGAGGAATTTTGAAAGTTCTGGCCCTGTCCCAAACACAGACATGGACACACAAACTACAAATTTAGATGAACAATATAAAATTCCACAGTATTTTTCATTTTAGTCAAATAACTTGGTAAAATTCATAGGATTCTACCATAAAGTATTAACTTGTGTCTCAAGTCATTCTAGAATGAGGGGATCAACTTTATCTTAATTAAAATGTTTTTATTTATATAGCAAAAATATAGTTTACATGATAAGTATTAAAAACTCACTTTCAAATTGTGTTAATTCTCAGACCACTGATGAATCATTTAGTAAACCACAGTGCAGTTTTCAAAAGCTAAATGATGCCTTAGTGCCTTGGAAGTTAAGATACTTTTGCAGAGTGATTTTAGCAAGATTCAGAATTGGTACACCTGTTGCTGAGGATTCAAAGCTGAGGAACGCTGTAGTTAAATGAGCTCTTTGTGGTTTAATAAAAAAATCAGTCCTTTCGCCATTGACTATGACAGATGACAACTGTTTTCATTACATTTTCATGATGTGATATTTGTCTATTTTTTTCTTTTTCTAAGTAAGTTTGAAATGGGAAATGTAGTCAAGACAGTTAAATGTGGGATTTTAAAATTTGGTTTGGTTGTAAACTAGAGATTCTAGTGTGAACAGTGTGAGCTTTATATTGTGGTACAAGGGAGACACTTCACATAACTTTTAGGAATATGTTTACCATCAGGGTTTTTTTTTTTTAACTATAGAAATAATGTACTGTGAAGCTTAAAGACAGGAAGAAGAAACAATGGAGGGGTAACGCACAAAAACAAAGGCATATGTGATGAAGTATCCTACATTATGTGAACACAGTTTTCCCCCTTCTGTTAAGACTATAAACTACCTTGTATGAGTATGTGTACTGCATGTTTACATAATACAGTTTAATTTTGGAGGGTTATTTAAAAAGTATGTTTATTTATAATACCTAACAAGCTGTAAATATTGTATACTATTGATTTTTAATTTTATATAAGCAATTTTTTATTTCCAATTCGTGTGTAAAGCTCATTGTGTATATAGCATAAATTTCCTGGAGAACACAAATTTTGCAGTGAATTTTAATTATTTAATTGTGGTAAGCATCAGGTTAGCCTTAGAAATGTTGATCTTTATTTTAAATTATTTTTCACCACTCATTTTCTTCAAGGGGCAGCAATAAATATATGCAAGTTATGTTTGATTTAGAAAGTTGGTCTGCAAAGACAAGATCTAGGTTCAGATTCATTGCTTTAAAGAAAAGATGCACAATTAATATCATCCACTGTCTAATCTCAGGACCATTTCTGAGGTCCACATGTGTCTCTCCTCTTTGTAATATACAGGGTGAACTCTTTACTGATACACACAAAACAACTGTTAAAAGTGAACCCAGCACTTAAATGTCATTACACAGAATTTATTGGATTAAAAATTTGTAATATACAATATTTTAATAAAGTTTCTGTATTCAATTTCATGCACTTATATATAAATAAACCTGTCTTAAAAGCTTTATGGGGAGTTTGACTCTTGATGACATATCTTTGCAGCTCATTCACTGTAGACTCAAATGTTTCCTCTGGCCCTTTTGTCAGTTTTTCTGGGCCAGTTTTACATTGGATTTGGGAGGCAGCACTGAAAAGGTAAGTAAGAAATCTATGAGATGAACTTGACCTGGTTTGTAGTTTTGCCTAGCACCAGTGCTAGGCTACATAAGCATCTACTTCTAAGAGTTACTGTTCTAAAGAACTTCTAATAAATGACTACCATTTATTGAGTGCTTAGTATCAGCTAGACACTTCATAGGTATTCTATAACACGGTAACCTTTCAAATTACAGCGATTACTGAGGATTATGAAGGTAATCCTTCACTTTACAAATATGACGCATTTGAAGTTCAGAGAAGGTGAGGAACTTCTCAAGGCCACACAGCTAATAATGCTGAGCTGGGATTTTCTTACTCTGTTACCCATGTCTTTCCCCACAGTGCTGTGTTTTACAAAGTATTCTGGGAGCTCTTACCTGTCATGAGATAAGATCTCATTATTGACAAAGACCAGATGGCATTATGGGGATTTGAAAAATGATCAATTTAGGATTATTGCCAAATTTATGCATACTATGAATTTTTGTTAGAGATTTTTAAGATATAGTACTAGGTACCCAGTTAGACTCTACTATCCTGCTTGAGAAGAGATTGGGGCTGGCAGAGCCCAACTATTTGTAATTGTTACAAACTCTGCTGGAATAAAACTTGCTTAACTTTAAAAATTGTGCAAGGAAAGTGGAAGTAAACATTCTTTTCACATATACTGACATATTTCATGTAATTACTACATTGAAATGTATTTTCTTTTTTCTAGATAACTTCAACCACAAGAATAATCAAATTATTAAATATATTTCCTTCCTGACCATGAGTTTTAAAAAGTTCTTGAATGAAGTATAAATCTTGAGATTAAAAAGAAATTTTCTGTTTTGATTTTATTCTTTTTGGTTCTTGAGGTAATAGTTTTATAATGTTTTTGTGATGGGTAAGCTATCTCTGGGTATTTTGATATTCACCAAGCACTAAAAGAAAACACTGAATTTCAGATTTGTTGCCACCTTTGTAGAACAAGACCAGAGGAAAAGGTGGTGTAAAAGAAAGATCAGGTCTTACACTGAGCTTGCTGATGGAGAATGAGTTCTTGTGTTGTGAAGGAAGACTATCTCAGACTTACCAAATAGATACTTAGGTCATTTATGTTCTGAAGTCGAACTCTTGTTAATTCATAAAATAGTACCTGAAGTGTTAGGGTATAAAGAAAAAAAACAGGACCAATGGCACATCTTTGAGGAGTAGAATTTGGGCTCACCTCTTAGCCCTCACCTCCAGCTTCTAATGGAATCTTAACAGAAGTCTCCCATTCCACTGTTGTTCTTGATCTGCTCTTAACCTTCCATTATTCATCACTGTCAGACTTTCTTTTGGCCAATTTTATGAATATTCTTCAGGGCCAGAGTTCTGGGGACTGATCTGCCAAATGGAATTCCATCAGGTGGCTTTCTTGCAAATCAAGAGTTTATCACTAGATGGTGTAGTGGTTCTATTTTACTTTTCCTTTGTTTTTGGCCATTCTTATCTGTGAACCAGCCCTAATTAGATCAGTCTGTACTTTTGGACTCAATTGCATGGGCTACATCTATGTTAATTTTTTCTGATTAAAAAAACACGTGAGGAAATTAAATATAATTAAAATCACTATGTTATCACTAACATTTAATTTTAAATTTAACTTTAATTTTAAAGAATGTTAATATGGTAGCTCACAGAGAAAGGAATGTGACAATGAATATATATATATTCATGTATAACTGAAAAATTGTGCTCTACACTGGAATTTGACACAACATTGTAAAATGATTATAAATCAATAAAAATGTTTAAAAAATGTTAAGAAACAATGTTCAGGGGTTATTGACAAATTAGAAAATCACATTTTATGATTTTGGCTAGTCATTAGTCTGGACCTTGCTTTATGTATTTTTCATAAATATGTGTTCCAACTCAATACATAATGGTCTTTATCTAATTTAATAGTGTATAGTGATTTTAGTTGCACAGTTGGTCAACTTGTTGGGATAAAAGGAAATACACCAACATATCACAATTGGTCTTGTACCAGGAGACTTGGTTTTAAATTTCTGCTCTGCCACTTAGGACTTTAACTTGTCCGAGTTGTTTTGCTCCTGTGATCTTCAGTTTTCTCATCAGTAAATGAGGATAATAGCTCATGTTGCATGCAGTGTGCTCAGCAAATACTCCATCCCACTGGCTTCTTCCTCTTTTATATCACATGCACAGAGAAGGATGATGTAGTTCTATACTTTGCCATGAGTCTTGATAGTGAGTTCAAATAACTGTTTCAAAGTGTTTCCATACAGTGCGCATTGCAGTTTTACAGAGGATTTGTTTCAGGTTTAAACTTTCCCATTGAACCATGTGCTGCTTTGGCAGCAGAGATGACTGAGGGAATTTTTCAGAAACATACCTCAGTGGAAAAAAGTCTGGTTAGAAAACAGAACGGATAAACTTGCTCAGCTAGCGGATTCCTTGCATTCTCTAAACCAAATATGTACAAGACGAGGAAGCCAAAGCAGCCAACATAAATCCCCCGAAAGATGGTTGTGACTCGCCTGTCAGCTGTGCACATAGTCATCAGCCACCTCAGATCCTGTTGCAAATGAGCTTTGTGGGTTTGTTTATTGTTCTGCAGAGACAGCCTGCAGTTCAAACACAGAGAAGCGTTGGTCTCTTCAGCTCCAAAGTTTCTGACCTTAAAAGCACAAGTCTCATCACAAAGTGTGGTCTGTAGCAGCCTTGGAGACAAACGAGCACTCCCAGTCTTAAAGAAATCAGGACTGAACTTAAGGAACCAGAGAAGGGACCAAACAGATTTTCATAAAATGACACCTCTCCTGTCCCTTTTGCTTATTTTTTGTGGGAATTGGTATTGGTGGGTGACTCCAAGATATGACCCAAGAAGACACTTGTGTTATCTTTGATGTATAAAATAGGAGAAGGTACAGAGATGAGTGGGAGACATTGTAGGGCTGAGGAAACAACGATTTTGAGAGACTTCAGACTTTGGAAAGCCCT